CGAGGACATCACTTACGAGAGGCCCTTGGAGCTAGCGATCATGTGTTCTGAGTTTTGACTATATAGTAGAGTTACAAGGGAGAAGTAACAGGAACTGAAGGGGACAGGCCAAACTATAAAAGGGGGACTACACAGGTATGAGAAACTCCTGCAGAGGTTCAGTGGGACAGAGAAATGGTAGGAAAATCAGTAAACGAGATGATGGAATATGTGGCAACAAAGTGCAAGGAGGCAGAGGAAAGTTTGTTCCCAAGGGAAACAGAAATAATAGGAAGACCAAAACGAGTCCTTGTTTACCCGAAGGTGTAGGGAGGCAAAAACTAAGTGCAACAGAGAATGGAAAAGGTACAGGAGGCATAGGACCCAGGAAAACAAGGAGATTAGTAGAAGAGCCAGAAACGATATGCGCAGATAAGGAGGGAGGCCAGCGACAGATGAAAACGACATAGCATCGAAAGTCAAATCTGACCCGGAACTGCTGTATAGCCACATTAGGAGGAAGACAACAGTCAAGGACCAGGTGATAAGGCTGAGGAAAGAAGGTGGAGAACTCACAAGAAACGATCAAGAGTATGTGAGGAGCTCAACACGAGATTTAAGGAAGTATTTACAGTAGAGACAGGAAGGACTCTGGGGGACAGACCAGATGGGGACACCCAACAAGGAATACACCAACAAGTGTTGGACGACATACATACAGATGAGGAGGAGGTGAAGAAACTGCTAAGGGACATCGATACCTCAAAGGCAATGGGACCGGACAACATCTCTCCATGGGTCCTTAGAGAGGGAGCAGATATGTTGTGCTACCACTTACCACAATCTTCAACACATCCTGGAAACTGGGCAACTACCTGAGGTATGGAAGACGGCAAATGTAGTTCCCATTTTCAAAAAAGGAGACAGAAAAGAGGCACTAAACTAAAGACCTGTGTCATTGACGTGTATAGTATGCAAAATTATGGAGAAGATTATCAGAGGAGAGTGGTGGGCACCTGGAACGGAACAGGAGTATAAATGCCAACCAGCACGGATTCACGGAAGGCAAATCCTGTGTCACAAACCTTCTGGAGTTTTATGATAAAATAACAGAAGTAAGACAAGAGAGAGAGGGTGGGTTCATTGCATCTTCTGGACTGCAAGAAGGCCTTTGACACAGTTCCTCACAAGAGATTAGTGCAGAAGCTAGAGCATCAGCGCATATAACAGGAAGGGGGACTGTAATGGATCAGAGAATACCTGACAGGGAGGCAACAACGAGTCATGGTACGTAATGATGTATCACAGTGGGCACCTGTGACGAGCGGGGTCCCACAGGGGTCGGTCCTAGGACCAGTGCTATTTTTGGTATATGTGAACGACATGACGGAAGGGTTAGACTGAGAAGTGTCCCTGTTTGCAGATGATGTGAAGTTAATGAGGAGAATTAAATCTGATGAGGACCAGGCAGGACTTCAAAGAGACCTGGACAGACTGGACACCTGGTCCAGCAAATGGCTTCTCGAATTCAATCCTGCCAAATGCAAAGTCATGAAGATAGGGGAAGGGCACAGAAGACCACAGACAGAGTATAGGCAGGTGGCCAAAGACTGCAAACCTCACTCAAGGAGAAAGATCTTGGGGTGAGTATAACACCGAGCATGTCTCCGGAAGCACACATCAGTCAGATAACTGCTGCAGCATATGGGCGCCTGGCAAACCTGAGAACAGCATCCGACACCTTAGTAAGGAATCATTCAAGACACTGTACACCGTGTATGTCAGGCCCATACTGGAGTATGCAGCACCTGTTGGAACCCGCACTTGATAAAGCACGTCAAGAAACTAGAGAAAGTACAAAGGTTTGCAACAAGGTTAGTTCCAGAGCTAAGGGGAATGTCCTATGAAGAAAGATTAAGGGAAATCGGCCTGACGACACTGGAGGACAGGAGGGTCAGGGAGACATGATAACGACATATAAAATACTGCGTGGAATAGACAAGGTGGACAAGGACAGGATGTTCCAGGGAGGGGACACAGAAACAAGAGGCCACAATTGGAAGTTGAAGACACAAATGAGTCAGAGAGATAGTAGGAAGTATTTCTTCAGTCATAGAGTTGTAAGGCAGTGGAATAGCCTAGAAAATGACGTAGTGGAGGCAGGAACCATACACAGTTTTAAGACGAGGTTTGATAAAGCTCATGGAGCGGGGAGAGAGAGGGTCTAGTAGCAACCGGTGAAGAGGCGGGGCCAGGAGCTAGGACTCGACCCCTGCAACCACAAATAGGTGAGTATAAATAGGTGAGTACACACACACACACACACACACACACACACAATTTCCTTACCAACACTCCTCTGGCGAAGAATAATATTACCTTTGATCTCGAATAAGAGCGAGTTTGGTAAGGTGTGCCGGGGAGTGGAGAGAGACGTGTGGGTCAGTCACTGTCTGATTGCACAGAGCCGTAGCGAGAGGCAGATCATATGATGTGTGCTGTAGCGTCACTGAGCCGTATCTGTCATGTGATGCATGGTATCAGACCTTGACAAGGTTATCGTGATATGGTTGTGTGCTGCGTGTGTGTGCTCACGTGGTTGCAGAGGTCGAGTCACCAGTTCTTGTGTGTGTGTGTGTGGTGTGTGTGTGTGTGTGTGTGTGCGTGTGTGTGTGTGAGACAGAGCGAGAGAGAGAGATCAGATTCATTGTCATAAATTCCAGTCTCTAATGTTTCACGTTCAAAACGTTTCTCTGTCATTTACCTCTATATTCTCAGTTCAGTGAATGTTCCAAACACCTGAACGTTCCAAACAGCATGAACATTACAAGCAGCATTATTCTTCCAAACAGCACAAACATTCCAAGCAGCATGAATGCTTCGAGGAGAAAGAACGTTTCAAAGATCATGAACGCTCCTAAGACGTTTAGCGTTCATAGCAGCATGAATGTTCCTACCAGGAGGGACACTTCTGCGAGGAGAAACGTTGATACCAACAAGACCGTTCCAACCAGCAGGAGCTTTTCGATGAACAGTAACGTTCTCCTACAAGCAGGAACGTTCTAAAATAACGAACGTTCCCACAAGGATATACGTTCCTACAAACATGAATATTCCTACAAGCATGAACGTTCCTACAAGCATGAACGTTCCTGCGAGCATTAATGTTTCTACAAGTATGAACGTTCCTTAAATAACGAAAGTTCCTACACGTATGAGCGTTCCTACAAACATGAACGTTCCTACAAGTAAGGACGCTCCTACAAGTAAGAACGTTCCTACAAGCATGAACGTTCCTACAAGAATGAACGTTCCTACAAGCATGAACGTTCCTATCAGCAGGTGCAGGGCCAAAAAAAAGTGAACCTGTATTTTACGATCCACAGCCTGAAATCGCTTCATAAATACGCATAAATATGGAGACCGTGACAGAAATGGTCCTACGCATGATGGCGCGGAGAGAGACAGAGACAGAGACAGAGACAGAGAGAGAGAGAGAGAGAGAGAGAGAGAGAGAGAGAGAGAGAGAGAGAGAGAGAGAGAGAGAGAGAGAGAGAGAGAGACATACAGACAGAAACAGACAAACAGAGAAACAGACAGGCGTAGACAAATCTACATTTTACACAAGCAAATCATGTCTCCCATGAAATATGCTTCCTAAGTACTATATTTACAATATATTTCATATATTAAAATATAATATATATCTCTTACATCGGCCCTTCACGTGATTTGAAGAATGAAATGCGTCTCGGGCCGGATAATCATTCTAAATGATGATGACATTCGTAGAATGATAATCCCTTACCAGTGGGTCGTTTTTATGAGGTAAAATCATGATCTTTCGCGTGACTTATGGTGCTGGAAGAGCTTGCAGCTTCACGCAGCGGTGCCGCTTGTTGAAAACACGCAGGCACCTTCAGCAGCGAAGAGGAGGGGCCAGGAGCTGTGATTCGACTCAAGTAACTACAAATAGGTGAGTACGAAAGTTTAATGTAACCTTAACGAACTTTATTGTAACCTAACCAGAGTTTACTGTAACCTTACTAGAGTTTACTGCAACCTTACTAGAGTTTACTGCAACCTTACTAGAGTTTACTGCAACCTTACTAGAGTTTACTGCAGCCTTTCCAGAGTTTACTGCAACCTTACTAGAGTTTACTGCAACCTTACTAGAGTTTACTGCAACCTTACTAGAGTTTACTGCAACCTTACTAGAGTTTACTGCAGCCTTTCCAGAGTTAGTGCAACCTTACTAGAGTTTACTGCAACCTTACTAGAGTTTACTGCAACCTTACTAGAGTTTACTGCAACCTTACTAGAGTTTACTGCAACCTTACTAGAGTTTACTGCAGCCTTTCCAGAGTTTACTGCAACCTTACTAGAGTTTACTGCAACCTTACTAGAGTTTACTGCAACCTTACTAGAGTTTACTGCAACCTTACTAGAGTTTACTGCAACCTTACTAGAGTTTACTGCAACCTTACTAGAGTTTACTGCAACCTTACTAGAGTTTACTGCAACCTTACTAGAGTTTACTGCAACCTTACTAGAGTTTACTGCAACCTTACTAGAGTTTACTGCAACCTTACTAGAGTTTACTGCAACCTTACTAGAGTTTACTGCAACCTTACTAGAGTTTACTGCAACCTTACTAGAGTTTACTGCAACCTTACTAGAGTTTACTGCAACCTTACTAGAGTTTACTGCAACCTTACTAGAGTTTACTGCAACCTTACTAAGTTTACTGCAACCTTACTAGAGTTTACTGCAACCTAACCAGAGTTTACTGCAACCTTACTAGAGTTTACTGCAACCTTACTAGAGTTTACTGCAGCCTTACTAGAGTTTACTGCAACCTTACTAGAGTTTACTGCAACCTTACTAGAGTTTACTGCAACCTAACCAGAGTTTACTGCAACCTTACTAGAGTTTACTGCAACCTTACTAGAGTTTACTGCAGCCTTACTAGAGTTTACTGCAACCTTACTAGAGTTTACTGCAACCTTACTAGAGTTTACTGCAACCTAACCAGAGTTTACTGCAACCTTACTAGAGTTTACTACAACCTTACTAGAGTTTACTGCAGCCTACTAGAGTTTACTGCAACCTTACTAGAGTTTACTGCAACCTTACTAGAGTTTACTGCAGCCTTACTAGAGTTTACTGCAACCTTACTAGAGTTTACTGCAACCTTACTAGAGTTTACTGCAGCCTTACTAGAGTTTACTGCAACCTTACTAGAGTTTACTGCAGCCTTACTAGAGTTTACTGCAACCTTACTAGAGTTTACTGCAACCTTACTAGAGTTTACTGCAACCTAACCAGAGTTTACTGCAACCTTACTAGAGTTTACTACAACCTTACTAGAGTTTACTGCAGCCTTACTAGAGTTTACTGCAACCTTACTAGAGTTTACTGCAACCTTACTAGAGTTTACTGCAGCCTTACTAGAGTTTACTGCAACCTTACTAGAGTTTACTGCAACCTTACTAGAGTTTACTGCAGCCTTACTAGAGTTTACTGCAACCTTACTAGAGTTTACTGCAGCCTTACTAGAGTTTACTGCAACCTTACTAGAGTTTACTGCAGCCTTACTAGAGTTTACTGCAACCTTACTAGAGTTTACTGCAACCTTACTAGAGTTTACTGCAGCCTTACTAGAGTTTACTGCAACCTTACTAGAGTTTACTGCAGCCTTACTAGAGTTTACTGCAACCTTACTAGAGTTTACTGCAACCTTACTAGAGTTTACTGCAACCTTACTAGAGTTTACTGCAACCTTACTAGAGTTTACTGCAACCTAACCAGAGTTTACTGCAACCTTACTAGAGTTTACTGCAACCTTACTAGAGTTTACTGCAGCCTTATTAGAGTTTACTGCAACCTTACTAGAGTTTACTGCAACCTTACTAGAGTTTACTGCAGCCTTACTAGAGTTTACTGCAACCTTACTAGAGTTTACTGCAACCTTACTAGAGTTTACTGCAACCTTACTAGAGTTTACTGCAACCTTACTAGAGTTTACTGCAACTTTACCAGAGTTTACTGCAACCTTACTAGAGTTTACTGCAACCTTACTAGAGTTTACTGCAACCTTACTAGAGTTTACTGCAACCTTACTAGAGTTTACTGCAGCCTTACTAGAGTTTACTGCAACCTTACTAGAGTTTACTGCAACCTTACTAGAGTTTACTGCAACCTTACTAGAGTTTACTGCAACCTTACCAGAGTTTACTGCAACCTTACTAGAGTTTACTGCAACCTTACTAGAGTTTACTGCAACCTTACTAGAGTTTACTGCAACCTTACTAGAGTTTACTGCAGCCTTACTAGAGTTTACTGCAACCTTACTAGAGTTTACTGCAACCTTACTAGAGTTTACTGCAACCTTACCAGAGTTTACTGCAACCTTACTAGAGTTTACTGCAACCTTACTAGAGTTTACTGCAACCTAACCAGAGTTTACTGCAACCTTACTAGAGTTTACTGCAACCTTACTAGAGTTTACTGCAACCTTACTAGAGTTTACTGCAACCTTACTGGAGTTTACTGCAACCTTACTAGAGTTTACTGCAGCCTTACTAGAGTTTACTGCAACCTTACTAGAGTTTACTGCAACCTTACTAGAGTTTACTGCAACCTTACCAGAGTTTACTGCAACCTTACTAGAGTTTACTGCAACCTTACTAGAGTTTACTGCAACCTTACTAGAGTTTACTGCAACCTTACCAGAGTTAACTGTAACCTAATCTGAGTTTACTACAGCCTTGCGAGAGTTTACCTCAACCTTGTTAGAGTTAACTACACAATATGATGAGGAACTTGGCAAACCACTTAATTTCTCGAGACCACCTGCGAGGATGCTGGGGGGAGAGAGATGAAAAATTCTCCCCCGTCTGTACACAGGTGCTTGAGTACCTAATGTGCATAAGTGCTTGAGGACCTACTTATCCAGTAAGTTTATTCAGGTACACACCCTTAGTGTTTTACACTTGTCTTGTATAGTAATCTCTGTGTAAATTGCTCAGGATAACCCAGTAAAGTCAAACAATCCGACCACTTAGTGTACCTATCTCTGTATATACACCAAAATGTGTATTACACTAAGAAGTTTGAATCTCTCAGTGTATATACACAGTGAACATGCCAAACATTTGAATATTCCTAATACTTGCTTACTTACTTATCTCTCACCATATATATATATCGAAGTAAGTCATTTTATTCAGGTATACACAAATACAGTTAAATAGGTCATCATACATAGCAGCATATGTGTTAAGTACCTTGGACAACCCAAAAAAGTTAGGTGTTTATCTCTCAGTCTATGTACACACCGAGAGTTTAACACCTATTTAAAAATTAAAGTATCCAAGATCACTGGTGACTGCTGACTCGCAACTTTGGCCCCCGTGCAGGCGATATCCTTCAGATATCATGAACAAATCCTATCTTCATATCTCTTATTTGTAATAATTTTCTTGAGTTACCCATTCAAGGTATCTGAGTTAGTCCATC